CTTCCAGCGCTTTCGTCGGGATGAGATAAGAGAGAATGCGATTGCAGCATGCGACAAACCTTTGTAACTCCACTCGCACTGGACGGATTCTTAATATTTTTGCGGCGTTGAATTCGTGAGGCAATAAACTCTTCCAGTGAATTAATTCCATGGTTACTTAAAAGGTATTTCAGGGCCCATTAAGCACAATCGACGATATAATGTATGCTATACCGACTACTATGGAAAAGAATAATTGCATTTGAAGATTTCAAGTAGTTAGTACTCAGCTATGGGAGAACAGTGAGCCGAGCCTTGGTTAAATGTGTTTTGAAAACGAAAAAAAATGAACGATTCAGTTCAGAGTACATGTATTCTATACTATTGTATAGAATTTCATATATGGAAGAGCAATAGGCTGTCCCAACTGAAGAAAGAGGTCTTTAGAATAAATTGTGACCGCTTTCTCTACTATGGCAGTGCTGTGTATTTAGAAAAAGTGTGTGACGATTTAGTGTACTAGGTACTCTACTGTGGGAGAGCCCAAAGCCGTCCCGTGAGCCTCATACATATGTGTGTTTATAAAAAGTTGTTAACGATTTAGAGTACGATGTACTCTACTGAGGGAGAGCATAAAGCCGTCACGCCGGCACACCTGCAACTCTGTTTAAAAATAGTTTATCTCCATTTCGAAAAAAAATTATTTACAGTATGTACAGAACACAAAGGCTTTGCTCTACTCTGCGTGTGTTCAGAAAAAGTGGTTAACAATGTAAAGTACTAGGTCCTCTACTATGGGAGAGCATAAAGCCTTGCGGGGGTGAGCTGCTTGCCCGCAGGAAATATTTATGTCCTAGAGTTTCGCGTCTGGTTTAAGAGAAATTTATTTCCGGATATATCTTACACAGCGTATGTGCACACAGAAAAATGGACAATGGTGATCAATGCGTATGTATAATGCAATCTGTTATATACAGCGAAAAGAAGTTATTGCGTATGAAGTGACGTAAAATGCAAAAATTGTACAACAAAGACAGGACATTCGACATCGAGATGATTAAACTTAAATAAACAGTAAGGCTATATGAACAAACAAGGGCGGGGGGGGGGTTAATTTACAGTGTAGGGTGATGTTTTGAATTCACCTGTGGGGACAGTTTGCTCTCGCGCTCAAGAACAATAATGCACAAAAAGGACATGTTCCTAAAGAAGAAAAGGAAAATACACACTGTAATATCACAGTGGTACAAGCTCTAGCCCACCTCCTCAATAGGGGACGAAAGGCATGGCACTTAGTAGTTTTTTTACGATAAGGAATCGCGTAGACCAGCGTCAGAGGAAAGCCTCCTCTTCCAGCATGACTAGTTCTGCGTTGAGATGCATAAGCATTACGTTTCTTAGCCGATGTAGTAGAGGAAACATGGCTCTCAGAGGGCGTTCCTTCAGGCTTGCCAGTCACCTCCGCTTCCATAAGACGAAGGCTCCGATAGCCATTAAGAGTTCGACGAAGTTATCCCTGTGGCTAGACTTCCAATGCATACTTATTTGGAACATTCTGGTAACCATGCGCCAAAAGGTGCGCGCTACTATACATTTGTGGAAGACATGGTTCAGCGTTTCGACGCGACCGCATTGCGGGCATGTGGCGGAGGGCGCCACGCCCCACGCCGCAAAGCGGTCGGCCGTTGGTAAAGCCTCCCATTCCCTAAGCCAGTTTAGGTCACGGACTTCGGAAGGGAGAGACGTGTTTGTAAGAGTCCAACGTCTTTTCGCCCGGTATTTCCGGCGTTGTTCCTCAGATAGGCTTTTAAATGCTATTAGTTCGCTCATGTCGGTAGGGGACATTTCCATAAGTTCTTGAACTGGAAAATCGTTTCGCCATTGTTGCAAAGATTTTATAACATGTGTGTAATACGCCGGTGGCTGCTCAGAAGCTGGTCCCGTGTCGTTTGCTAAACCGAAAAATCTTCTAGAGGTTCCTGGCAGATACACCACGAGTTGCCTGCCTCGATACGATGAGTTCTCTAAGAGTGCCCAGGTGTTTTTGAGAGCCAACATGCGGCACATTACATCGAGGTTGGGTACACTGAGCCCTCCCCATTTTACTGGCAGGTGGACCAAGGCTCTAGCAACAGCTTCGGCGTGGCCATCCTCCCCCCCCAAAAAAAGAGCCGCACGCAGTAGCCACTCTCAGCAAAACCCGACAAGGTGGTCGAGCAATTCTGGCTACATAAAGCAGTGGCACTGTTATGCTGAATTTAATTAGATAAGCTCTTGCAGTAAAGGTAGTTGAAAGGTTCTGGCGACTTCAATGCGTCTGTCCACTTTGTGTGGGATTTCTTTCCATGTGGTGAGGGCTACCTCATCAGTCGAAAGGAAAGTTAAACCTAATAACTCCTTGGACGATTTGGACGCCATCAGGGAACTCTTCAATGAGCATCCCAAAGCACAATGCCTTGCTTTTTCCGGGATTAAGACGTGCTCCCGACAGGTGTGAAATATTCGCAAAAAGGCTCTGTAGCTATCTATGTTCCGAATAAACAACAAGATGTCATCGGCGTATGCCGCTATTTTCACTTCGCCCAAGTATAGCCTGGGAGAGGAAAACTGCGTATCGAAGTGCATTTCTGAATTTGTTTCGATAATGGATCTATGCATTATACAAAGAGAATTGCGGAGAGAGGACAGCCTTGTCGAATGCCCCTACTTACTGCAATAGGTTCAGATGTATAGCCATTCACTACTAATGACGTTTATAAGTCTGTGTAGAGTAAGCGGATGACGTCGGTTAAATGTTCTGGGAAGCCAAAAGATCGTCGGCAGCAATGCTAGCTTATTTACACCCAGCGCTAGCACGCGTCTAAGATAATCACTCTTGCCTGTACATCCTTCTGTCCCTGGTTTTAGGTCACACACCTGAGTGTTCGAACTAAATTTACCCAAACCAATATGAAATTATGAACATGCCAAAGAGATATTGAAGGTAGAAACATCAAGCGTTTATTTTCGGATAAGCCCAGCAATGATAATATTAGAGGCAGAGCACGTAACCGCCGGATGATAGTTCTATACGTCGTAGATGTATCGCGCTAACTAGTCTAGTGGCTAATGTACTCGGCTGCTGACCTGCAGGTCGCGGGCTCGAATCCCGGCTGCGGCGGCTGCATTTCCGATGGAGGCAGAAATGCTGTAGGCCCGCGTGCTCAGACTTGGATGCACGTTAAAGAACCCCAGGTGGTCGAAATTTCCGGAGCCCTCCACTACGGCGTCTCTCATAATCATATGGTGGTTTTGGGACGTTAAACACCACATATCAATCAAATCATTAACTCAGCGCGGCGTCGTGGGTGAAGCCAACGACGCAGCCTTGATTTTATTTCAGGAAAGAGAGTTCGATTCCTCGTCGCACACATGTGTGGATGCATGTATGTGCGAAAGGGATACACACATACAATAGATTAATGAATATTAGATGCGAAGCAGCTCTTTAACTAGCCGGCGTAACGCTAACCTTTCGTGCATCCGTACGAATGCACCGCAACGTGCTCCCCTCGCCGCAGATGTTGGAGTGGAGCCAAGTAGGTAAAAGGTATTTCTGCCGCGGAATAAGATCCTGAACAATCAGTCGATCGTTCCTTCGCGCTGAAACTCGCTTCCGAGTGAAGCCGTCGAGTTATCAAGCACGGAAGCGAGTAGTGTAGAGGAGCGCAGCCGGTTTCGGCTTACGAGCAGAAAAAGTAGGAGGAAGAGCAAGAGAAAGAAGTCGTTAGCTACTATTTATTTTGTCTTTCAATTTAACGTTAACGCATACCAACGCCAACCCTGACACATTACATTACCAACTAATTGCACATTACACTTAAGTCGTCCATTGAAATATTCTAAATTTGTACATGTTGTATCAGTTTTATGTATGCATCATGTATTTATTCAGTATGTATTCTGCATTATGCACGTATTATGCATGAAGTGTTGAAATTTTTCTATGTGATGCACATCGTTTCCTTCAGGTGTTCTATACCGTTATATTTTTACTGATTGATGTTATTTTAAAGCCACCATCACACAATGCCCAACAGGCCTGTCAGCGATTTCAGATGAATAAAGTTTTCACGGCTATAGGATATATCCGACGAAATCGTAATGAAGGATCGGCCGCACACAGTTACGTGAGTACACGCGCACACTTGTGGTCTAACGACTGCTGAGCGCGAGGCGGCAAGGTTCGAATCCTCGCCGCTGTGCCTGCCGCTTCCGACTGAGACAAAACAAGTAAAACGCTCGTGCACATTCTTAGGGAACGTGGTAGCAATGTGTACGCTAAATATTAATATGGGCTCTTTGGTTATTAGGTCCCTGTCCATATCGCGAAAATGTGAGCACACAATCAAAATACTGATAACATATATTTGATGTGTGATTACTGTATATTCGGCGTTACTTTGCAGAAGTGCTTAGCGTGTCACCATTGCTGTTTTTATAGTTTCTGCGGTTGATGTATTGTCAAATATCCTTACTTGCGCGTCCTTTGCTGTTAAGTGCCGTTCTTGCGAAGATTGGGGGCGTAGCAGGCTTTCTGCATCTCGCATGGTTTCGCAATTCTTCCGGGATTGTGACCCTCTTTGGCTAAGCGAAGACGTCACGTGATGAAGTAATCAGGTTACATCACATTAAGTCACCTCGTAGTGACGTAACGACAACGTCACCTTTATGAGGACGCCGTCACGGAATGATTTTTTTTATCTCTCTTGCTAACACTGCCACCGCCTACGTTCACTTTTCACATTTGACGAGGCGTCCCAGGTGGATGGCGAATGCTATTGCGTTCTTATTCAAGATTTCGAGTAATCACGTGCGCTTCGTTGTCACGTGCATTCCGCGTCACTTCCGGAAGTTCTTGTCTCCTTCCTGGGATCCGTCCCCCCCCTTTCGTGGATCAGTTTCCTTAGTGCTGATAGACTGTACAAAAAGTGCAATGCGGCATCTGATCGTCGTTGTCTTTTCTTTTTTCCTTGATGAAGGCTGTTGGAAGCCGTGTGACTACGACTACTATCAGCTGCGCAAGGCTAACATGCTTTGCCTGGAGGACATCTGTCTGGACCCCGCGGTACAGGTCAGAGGCCTCGTCTGCATTCTCGACTGCCGAGGCTGGGGCCTGCAGCACCTGCTCGGCTTCCCCATATCGCAGGTCCGCAAGACCATCGATCTGCTTCAGGTGAGTACACGGTTGCAAAAAAAGAAAAAAAAGTTGTATTGGGAAACTAAGCGTGACGTGGACGCGTGCCTAAACTACTAATACTTTCTTTCTTTCCCTCTTTCTTTTTCGCTATGCTACCTTTTTTAAATGTTTCCTTTCTCCAAGCCGGCTAATGGGACCTCCATCCCCGTGCTTAGTAGTGCAACACTTCGCTTCGATATAGGCAATAATGACGGTCATGCCTTCATATTCGGGCAACACTGAAATGTAGCAATGCCAAATTACAATTCACCTGGACAACCTCAATAAAAGATCGAACTGCCGCGTCAGAAACGGCTGATCGCTGACAGGGCCAATATGAAGAGAGCATCAATAATAAAAAATGGCGTTATTGCGTTTTATAGCTGCGGCTAGTGTTTTGCGATGATTTTCGTAAATAGAAAACTCAAATAAAAAAAAACGGCCAGGCCTGCACCGAAGGCGCAGCACAGTCACAGCGAAAGCTTGAAGAGCGGCCTTTCAGAAATTTTTCGAAACACTCATTGGGTAACTACTGCAAGCAAACTTGCTTGATACCTACTAGGTCATTATTAATAAATATATTAAGTAGTAGGCCGGCGTGCACTATGCTATTTTTCGTCAATCTTCTGAGAAGCGTGGCATCTGTTAAACACATGTAAGGAATTTTGTGCCAATTGTTCATGCATTGGCGGACGGCGATGAGGAATGGTGGCTGAAGTGGGTATGCGCCACAGTTAATAGGGGAACAAGAACAAGCTTTCGTGATGGGTTAGAGCATTGGACGGCCGACTTGTTACGCTATTCGCATTGTGCGATGACTGGTTGTTCTTTCGCTGTCTCAAAACGCTTCATAAGTCGTATTAACGTGATTGCTTTCCCGACATAAAGCCTGCCTAAGGCAAGTTTGACATCAAGTCACAAGCACCAGTGTAGGTCAGTTTCTTAAGGACAAGGTTTTCGATAGATTACCTAACTAAAGAGAAAAGAAAGCGCCTTATAAAAGACTTAATACAGAATGTTTTTCCTGTGCCCCTTTACCGTTTAAAGTACGAAAACTCATATGGACAAGTCGTACTAAAGCGAGTGAAATACACGTGGACACCACCCAATGTTAGAACTATTTTTTTTTTCAAGCTTCATACGGGAACCTTGCCAGTGAAAACGTGGCTTGAAGAGGGAGGGATGTATGTACCATGCAGAAGCAGCTGTCTCCTGTGTGACAAACCTGAGACCACTGAACATGTATTTATTGATTGCAAGGATGCCATTTTCTTTTGGAACATTTTACAGAGGACTTTAAAAAAATATTTACCTCTTACTCCACATAGAATTTCTTTTTTGCAATGTGATAGTTTTGTGCAACATTTGGACGTTATTTTCTTATTTGGCCTTCATTCGGTTTGGCATGGCATACTATCGTACAGACACTGTGATGTAAGAGTTCTATCTGTTCATGAATGTTTCGTGGAAGCTGTTATCAAAGTGGGAGATGTGTATAAGGCTGCCGACTGTGTTGAAGATGTGATATCTTTTTTTTTGATGCGTTAACACACATGGAACACGTGTGATGTGCGATTGTCAGAGTAACTTGACCTGTAGTCAAGTAGGCAATAAAGAAAAAAACTGGTCTAGCTCAGTGGTAGAATACGGGGCTGGCACCCATCGGACCCGGGTTCGAGCCACACTGTGTCATTGGTGCTAGGTCAAGCCTGCCTAAGGCAAGTTTGACAATAAGTTACAAGCACCGGCGTAACTCAGTGGTAAAATACTTGGCTGGAACCCAGTGGACCCTGGTCCGAGCCCCACTGTGTCATTGGTGCTAGGTTTTTTTTGTGCGGTGTTGTTACGGACACCGGCGGCGGCGGCGGACAACTGCGCGTGACCCCGAGTTGTGATCTCATAACAGCTTTTGCTGTAAAAAGAAACACCTAACTTATCTTTCTAGTGCCCTGCCGCGCAAATAACCGTGACAGCTAATCAGCACCAGAAACACAGCTGTAACTGTGGTAGGCGCCACGTCTTTTGCCTACCACGCGAAACCAAACACTCGACGACAGCGTCACTGCATTTTTGTGACGTATGTCCGGTGAGTTTCGTAAGCAGGTATGTTTTGACACTGCTAAAAATGGTGCCGCGGGCAACGGCCATGTGCCGGCTTTATGCAGCACGAAGGAGCGCAGGCACACTTGGATGTGACGTCACGTTTGACGTGATTGAGTGGTTGCGCGCGGTGTCCAGGCGTACAGGCAGGCTGATGGCTAAGAGTGTGTGGGCTTGCGAAGCAGGAGTGCAACTGATCGACTGGTTGCTAATGGTGCATTCAGACGACGGACCGAATACGGATGTGGCGAGACGGACGGCGCGTCACGTGACCTCACATCAGCGATTCCCCTCGTCCGCGTGGCTCGCGGACGGATGACCGCAACCTGTTTCTCACATCGGGATTCTGGCGGGGGAAAGCCGATACTTCAGCGGATTAGCTCGGGGTTTCTGGCAACCAGTACACTTTTCGTCTGCTCGCGGCATGTCCTCCATGGCTCGCGGATAGCTGCATGACTGGTCGGCATCATCTACGCTTGAGCATGGTTCACTTAGTTTCCGGAGCCTTTGTTCTCAGGTGATTAAATACGCAGAAATCACTTTTGGTGGTTCGGGAAATGTCGCCGCCGTCGTTTGACACGCGAGATTCTTAGCCGTCATGATGGCGAAATATTCTAACTTCTGCAACTGGCAACGTGCCGCTTCTGAAAAAAGGATGGGAGACGCGTTCAGAAGTTCTACAAGTGGGGAACAATGTAGTTGAAAGAACATTCTGCCAGCAACTCCCTTTTCTCCTGAAAGAATAACACTCCTCGTTCATTTGTCACAACGCGACAGACATCGCAGTCAAGCGTCGCTTCTTGCGGGCATCCATGTTGAATACTCTCAAACCGGTCTGCTTTCAGCGCGCGCAGGTGAGCGCCGAACCTGCTGTCGAGGGTAATCCGGCTGTTTTCTCCTAGGACACCGTCCGTCGTGTGGATGCGCCTGCAGGCGGATCATCCGCGGATTAGCCGTCCGCGTCCACGACAAATCCGGATTTGGTCCGTCGTCTGAATGCACCATTAAAGCAACGCGTGGTAACGTCATCACGGCGTGAGGTGTTTTGTTCGCGTTGGGCAGATTGGAATCGGAATAAAAAAGCTGCGCCGATTAGTCCGCAATCTTCTGCTGTGAATTGCCTCAAACCGCAGAATGCATTTTAACGTAATCTCGACGATTTTCGGCAATGTTCCCGTTCTTCTTTCTTTATGTGAACAGGACTGCCTGCCGGCGCGATTCAAGGCCGTGCACGTGGTGCACCAGCCGTCGGTGTTCAACGTATTCTTCTCCCTGGCCAAGCCTTTCCTCACCACGAAGAATATCAACAGGGTCAGTGCCCCATGCAATCACTGCTCAAATTCACGTCTTTCTTTACACTTTTGTGTTGCAAGAAAGAAAAGAAAGTGCCAGGTTTGTTTTTTGCAGAAGAAGGGGGGGGGGGGGGTGTGATGTGAACTTATTGACGGCGTCACTATTCATTTGCTGTGTCATGCGTGAAGCTTTAGGTGTGAAAAAAAAAGTATGGCTCTCCCACAATCGACAGTATAGATGTATAAGCATCAAGTGGCTGCTGGCAAATGAGGTTGGTTGTTGATGAGCAAGGAGGATTAAAGAAAAATTGCTGAAGTGGAAACTCCAGGAATGCCTTGCCAGCAGGCGTGAAGCCACGTTTTTCCACTGCCAAGATGGCGGAAACATGCTCTTTTCTAGAAAGATGATCCCCACTTAAAGATCAAGTGGCTTCGATATGTTATGTAAATGCTACATTAGTTATATATTAAAAGATAGTTGTTACCGACAAAATAACACACAGAAACGAGTATGGATGACTGAATCTTCAAAGAACTTTGCCTCGAATTAGAGTCTCACTAAGGAAAACTAGTAACTGTAAGACGCACTTCAAACATTATATGACCCGAAAAAGTTCCCACAATAAACTCGTTGGACGTTTATCGCTGAACGGTGATACTTATCATGCCCCTAGCAAGATGGCCGCCACAGCCACCACCTTGCCAGAGGAACGGCTTCACTTCTGTGATATTATTTCCACTCCAGCAATTTTTTTATTCCTCCTTGGTGATGAGGCTACCCACAATGATAGAAGTGGGTATAGGTTTTGTTCGCAGGTGGAACACCCCACCACATCGCGTTATGCTTTGCACTTATATGGGCGTCACTTTTTTTTCCTGTAACTGTGTGGGATAAATCCTGGTGTTTGTCGAGTGACGTGACGCGATCTTCAGTGGCTGCACTGATGTTTTTTTTTTCTGTATGTTCGGATGGTCTCGTTTGAATGCCCGGATAACGGGCATTCAAAGTGGCTCAATGTCTCTCAAAGATCGCTAACATTGAGGGAGTGTAAGAATTCAGTGTTTAAACAGCAGAAAAAAAAAGGCATCAATAAAGGTTAAGGACTCCCCACTCCGTTAGAAGCAGTGCGTCGCAATGGGACCAGACCATCTGTTACTTTATGGGGGATTATAGCGTCACCCATGTGTGTTTGCACAAAAACTTTGAGAAATATTTGTGCGAGATCTAGTCATACATTGGTAAAAGTCGTTAATCCATATCCAAAATTTTTGAATCGTTCCCTTTTCGTCGTCTCTAAAGCTTCCACCGCAATACGGCAGCTTTACTCAATGGATGAAAAAACAAAAACAATGCCTAAAATGACTGGCTCGGCACTACACATGCTCCTGTTTTTCAACAAAATTCAGTTGAAAGACAGCGCTGAGCCATGTCCACTTCTACTGTATGTCTGGGTCTTCGTGCTCTTAGCCAAAATACAACATTGTGCCTGGCATAGGCGTACGCACGAGGGGAGGGAGGCACAGGCGAGTGACAACCTCTCCCGTCTACCAGTCTCCGGTAGACCTGTGCGCCGGTACCGGAATTGCCGGCGGCGGCGCGGTGCGGAAGGGGGAGAGGGGAATTATACTCTAGAGTGAGGAGAAGGCAGCAAAGAGTCGTTCGAATTGAAAAGAATGGAAAGAAGTTTGCCTATGCCATGGAAATATGGACTGTCTTCTTGAGCAAAGCTCTGTATTGCTAGATTCCTCTTAGGTTCTGCACAGCTCGCCGGTGGTGTTCCGTGGCTCCGGAGTATGGCGGTGGAAGCCACCTTCCCTTTCCTGTGCGGCCCCTGGCCCGTTTTGGCAGGAATTAGATAAGGGCTAGGGAACCGCCATCGCCAGAATGGAAGCGCCTTGCGAGCTTTCCGCTAGGGAAGCGAGTATGCGCTGCCACACCGGGAAGGGGCGGATTGGACCCACCAATGTCAGTGCCTTAGTTTCTTAAGGCGTCAGTATCATCCCAGCGGCGTTACGGGCAGTTGTGAATACCTCTTGACATGACTAGCACGCACATTGTCAGTACTGAAAAATAAGGTGCAGGGAAAGAGCGTCGGCATGAAGCACAGAATGTGACCGGGTGCTATAACCGAACGAATTTTGCCTGAAGGACCGGTAACGTCTCATATAGATGCCCGGTGACGGATGAACAATAGCGCGAGAGTTTGTGTGAAGTGCTCCACTCAAATGAGTGTAACGCTCGCAGGTCCTTTCTCGTGTATTTATCTGACTTACATCAAGAACGTCGCTTATGTCCAAGCACGTCCAATTGCTTTTTGCCACAGTGACCCCAAAGCAATGGTTACCGTAGTGACAAAGCAAATGAAAGACGGTATGAAGGACTCAACGTGGCTGCGAAACGACGATGAAGCTACGTGAACGCCCTTCAACGAACCTCCCAGCGGAAAAGAAATCTCTTCTGCTCTGCACTGAATGGCCTTTACAGCGGAGAGAGAGGTCTGTTGTATACGAACCACTGCTTTCACGATCTTTCTGCGCATAAGCACACGTGCCTGCCGTTGGTATAAAAAGATGTGTTTAATGTTTTATACAGTATTTTTATTTCCATATATTGATGATGCATATGCCGAGTTCCAAACACATGTTTATTTTCATCTTTTAAATTTTTTTTCATTATTCGCTAGCGCCTAAACTCGAGAAGAATTCTTAGCAGTGTATAATACCTCAGTTTGGTTTAATTTGTCCTGGTTTTGAGTCAATATCGAGGTCACGCAGAGTTCCTGCAATCAGATTTATATTTGGAAGTATGAAGCAAGTCTTCATTGAGAATAGGTTCATGTAACATTGTTTTATTCTCGGTAAAGGAGCACCGCGAATGCCAAGAACGAAATCCACCCGAAGTGGATACAAACTTAATCTTCAACTTTCCATCAATCCCATTGTGGTTGGAGAGTCTGGTGTCTAGCCTGTTGGTACATAGCATAGGGATCTAGCAACACAGCGTTCATAAGACACATACACAAGAACACAAATAAGACGACCACACAAGCTGGGGCTTGTGGTGGTCACGTGTTTTTTGAGGCTGGGTTCTTCAATTCCAAGCCATGGCGGTCGAAGCGCCGTTCAGTCAGCCTCGCGTGCCCTACGTAAGCATTTCAACACAATTAATTAGAGCACTAACACACGACACATTCACGCACACACACAACTAAGCATCAAACACGCACAAAGCTGTGTTTGTGTGTGTGCGTGAATGTGCCGTGTGTTTGCGCTCAAGTTAATTTTTTCGATGATCTACCAACAACTAGTTCTACTCGCATTGACACTCGAGCCCAATTCCACTCTAGGTTTTGTGGTATGATTGTTTACGCTGAACCTGTGGCCTTCTCCATCGGCATGAGCAGTGCACTTGCCGATCACCGAGGACACTGTGATGTGAAAACACTTGCTGGCTTTGGTCGGTTTGGTAAAAGTGGGGACGAACGCTGTGGCCAGTTTAAAAATTGTATGGTGTTGTGCGACTTTACCATGCGGGGTTAGCGCATTGGCCGCGGCGTCGTGGTAAAAAAAAAAAAAATGGCCGCATATCCACGGAGTGAATGATGGAGAGTGGGGCGAAGAATTCGTCTGTCCATTCGTTCTTGCTTCCGTCCGTCCATGCGTCCGTCTGTGTGACCGTCCATGCGTCCATCCGCCTGCCATGCGTGCTTATGTTCGTGCGTCCATCCCTGCGTTCGTCCATGCATCCACCCCTGCGTCCATTCATGCGTCCATCCATGCATCTGTCTGTGTGTCCGTTCGTCCACCTATTCAACACTCCAAGTACACTCTAAGCCGAAAAGGACTAAAGTGGGGTATGTCATTGGTCCTTTAGGGGTCTAAATGCGCTGCCACAGATTGTGAACCAATTTCGGACAAACTGCGGGAGTAACTGCAAGGGTTCAACTGTTACCCCAAGCACTTACTCCACTTCGTTTAAATGTTGGTCCCAGTAGAATGCTCCAGAGGGACTAACAGTTGAACCGTCTGGACCAATGGCAAAAAATGGCGACACTGCGTTTGTGGAGTATATTTTATGATTATTCTAATTTAATCAGTACAGAAGAACATAGTATGTTATTCATGCAACCCACACACATACATTTACATGCGCACTATTATTTCAAAGTAAACACCGCAAACACTGACTACCCGCGCTATACAACAGAGAACAGACTATCGGGTATATATAGCACAGTATTTTGTCCTCCCATCTAGTGCCAGTGGGCGGCTTTTACTCGGCTTAAAGAAACAATAAACATTGACACCGTAACGCGAACATTTACATGGGCTAATTCGTAGCACTGATGCGCATCAATCTTTTAATATGGATCCATCTAATCTTCAACTGCGGGAGCGGGAGCGGCCGCGTCAACAGCACGGGAGCGGAAAACAGTGTGAATCTGTGAAAACAACAGTCGGACCACGTGCCCGGTGCCGCGCAGTTCCCAACCGAAAAAAAAAAACCGCGTGTTGATGGAACTGCATTAAGAGGCCTGAGGTGCGGCCTCACCGGTAACCACCGCCGGGAACGCACTCCCTCACCAGAGAAGGATTGGCCACCCTGGTGCAGTATCTGGCCACTACCTCCCACATGCATACGTCAAATAACTCACGGCCCTCTGTCCCCAGCAGCTGCGAGGCAACTGAACACGGCGGCGGTCAGATCTGCAATGCAGCAGAGGGTGCTAAGAATCTCTGTATCCGGACAGGCCGCCATTGGAACCTGAACTTGGCAACGTTTAACGCTAGAACCTTATCTAGTGAGGGAAGTCTAGCTGTACTATTCGAGGAGCTAGAGGGTGTTAAATGGGATATAATAGGGCTCAGTGAGGTTAGGAGGACAGATGAGGCCTATACGGTGCTACAGAATGGGCACGTCCTTTGCTATCGGGGCTTGGCAGACAGAAGAGAACTGGGAGTGGGGTTCCTAATCCACAGAAACATAGCTGGCAACATAGAGGAATATTATAGCATTAATGAAAGAGTGGTAGGTATTGTAATTAAACTGAATAAAAGATACAAGATGAAGTAGTACAGGCTTACGCGCCTACATCCAGCCATGATGACGCTTCAGTTGAAAGCTTCTATGAAGACGTGGAATCGGCAATGAGTAAGGTAAAAACACAGTATACTATAATGATGGGCGACTTTAGTGCAAAGGTAGGGAAGAAGCAGGCTGGAGACCAGGCAGTAGGAGATTATGGCATCGGCACTAGAAACGCCAGAGGAGAGCTACTAGTAGAATTCGCAGGACGCAATAATTGGCGGATTTTGAATACCTTCTACCGAAAACGAGAAAACCGCAAGTGGACATGGAGGAGCCCTAATGACGAAAATACGAACGAAATAGACTTTATAATGACTGCACACCCAGGAATAGTGCAGGATGTGGAAGTGGTTGGCAAGGTACGATGCAGTGATGGTATGGTCTTGAATTCGCCTAGACTTGAAGAAGGAACGACAGAAACTGATACGCAAGAAGCCAATCAATGAGCTAGCATTGAGAGGGAAAGTACAGGAATTCAGAGTGTCGCTGCAGAACAGGTACTCGGCTCTTAGTGAGGAAACCAACCTTAGCGTAGATACAATGAATGATAATCTGATGAGTATCATCACGGAGTGGGCAGTGGAAGTTGGAGGCAGGGTAGTTAGACAGGACACTGGCAAGCTTTCCCAGGAAACGAAGAATCTCCTTAAGAAGCGTCAAAGCATGAAAGTCTCAAGTACAACAGACCAAATAGAACTGGCAGAGCTTTCGAAGTTGTTTAATAGGCGTAAGGTATCCGACGTAAGAAGGTATAACATGGAGAGAATTGAACACGCTCTGAAAAACGGAGTAAGCATCAAAGTAGTGAAGAGAAAAGTTGGGATAGGCAAAAATCGGATGTATGCACGAAGGGACAGAGAAGGCAAAATAACTACCAATATGGATAGGATAGTTAAAATAGCGGAGGAGTTTTACAGAGATCTGTACAGTAGCCGAGACAACCACGACCTTAATACTATAAGAACTAGCAGTAACCCAGATGACACCCCACCAGTAATGATAGAAGAAGTCAGAAAAGCTTTAGAGAGCATGCAAAGAGGCAAAGCTGCTGGTGAGGATCAGGTAACATCAAATCTGCTGAAAGATGGAGGACAGATTGTGTTAGAAAAACTAGCCACCCTGTTTACGAGGTGTCTCCTGACGGGAAGGGTACCAGAGTCTTGGAAGAACGCTAACATCATCTTAATACATAAGAAAGGAGATGACAAGGACTTGAAGAATTACAGGCCCATCAGCTTGCTCTCTGTAGTATACAAGCTATTTACAAAGGTAATTGCTAACAGAGTAAAGAAAACATTAGAATTCAATCAACCAAAGGAACAAGCAGGATTTCGAACAGGCTACTCAACAATTGACCACATTCATACTATCAATCAGGTAATATAGAAATGCTCAGAGTATAACCAACCACTATACATAGCCTTCATAGACTATGAGAAGGCGTTTGATTCAGTAGAAATATCAGCCGTCATGCAGACACTGCGGAATCAGGGCGTAGATAAAGTATATATAAACATTCTGGAAGAAATCTACAGGGGATCAACTGCTACCATAGTGCTTCATAAAGAAAGCAACAGAATACCAATCAAGAAGGGTGTAAGGCAGGGGGACACAATCTTCTCAATGCTATTTACCGCGTGCTTACAGGAGGTTTTCAGAAGCCTAGAATGGGAACAGTTAGGGATAAGAGTTAATAGAGAATACCTTAGTAACCTGCGCTTCGCCGATGACATCGCATTGCTGAGTAACTCAGGGGACGAATTGCAACTCATAATTACGGAGTTACACAAGGAGAGCAGAAAGGTGGGTCTTAAAATTAATCTGCAGAAAACGAAAGTAATGTACAACAACCTCGGAAAGGAGCAGCGCTTCGAGATAGGTAATAGTGCACTTGAAGTTGTAAAAGACTATGTCTACTTAGGGCAGGTAATAACGGCAGAGCCAAACCACGAGATTGAAGTGACTAGAAGAATAAGAATGGGGTGGAGCACATTCGGCAAGCACTCTCAAATTATGACAGGTAGATTGCCATTATCCCTTAAGAGGAAGGTATATAACAGCTGTATCTTGCCGGTACTTAGCTACGGAGCAGAAACCTGGAGACTCACAAAGAGGGTTCAGCTTAAATTGAGGACGACGCAGCGAGCAATGGAAAAAAAAATGGTAGGTGTAACTTTAAGAGACAAGAAGAGAGCGGAGTGGATTAGGGGACAAACGGGGGTCAAGGATATCATAGTTGAAATAAAAAGAGGAAATGGACATGGGCCGGGCATGTAGCGCGTAGACAGGATAACCGCTGGTCATTAAGGGTAACTATCTAGATTCCCAGAGAAGGAAAGCGGGTTAGGGGGAGACAGAAGGTTAGGTGGGCAGATGAACTTAAGAAGTTTGCGGGTATAAATTGGCAGCAGCAAGCACAGGACAGGGTTAACGGCGGAACATGGGAGAGACCTTTGTCCTGCAGTGGACGTAGTCAGGCTGCTGCTGCTGCTGCTGCTGCTGCTGCTGCTGCTGCTGATGATGATGATGATGATGAATCTTCAACACGCCTCCAGCCCGAGAATACGAATTATCAGCTGGCATTCGACCATGTCGGCCGAACCAGCGTCCGCAGTGCTGGCACATGAGTCCACAAACACAAACATAGCAGCGGCGCTTATGCGGCAGAGCCGGCGAAAAAGCCAGGCGCCCCGCCGAGTCCATACCGTGTCGGCTTGCCGACGGCGTCGCTAGGCTTACGACGAGTACGGCTAAACAACCACCGGCGATCGCAACATGCGGCTCGCGTGGAATTTTGTCGTCATTATTTTATAGTCACAAATCAACAATAGTTAAGTGTCCCATGTTCGTGGTGTCTTACCGAGTGATGTAGATATCTGTATACTTACAGCGACGAGACCGTTCGAGTCACGGTTCTTTCGTCATGCTGGTAAGTCGCTCCCCGTGTACCGCCCGCTGCACGGTTAGTCGTGTCCGCGATCGCCTACACGCTGGATGTTTGATAACGATTGTCGCTTGGAGAAAAAGACATACGTTTGTCTGAGCTTTAGTGCAGGCAACTCTATTTTCTGTGAAAAAAATTGTATGCGACGTTTCCTTCGCGTGTGCCGGCAGTGCACTCACACCGGCAGCGAGCTCGATTCCGATGACGTACGAAGCCTACTTTTTCTATATATCGCTTTGAAGCTGTGGTCACTGTGTGGGTACACGACCACTGATGAACAGCTTACTTTTATTAGCGTTGTCAGTGTTCATCGTAGTTCAAACCAATTCAGCACATTAAAGCGAGTTATCCGCATTGCCCGTGTTCGGCAATTTTCACTTGGTTTTGGCCCGCCCTTGCCGGCATGGTGAAAACGCGACGGCGCTTGCTGTGTGCACTGACTGTGTGTTGTACTACTTGCCCCTCATAACATCTTCTATTCGTTTCATAGTGCTTCGCTTTTACAGTGGCGTATAGCTCATAACTTGTTTTCATGATCACCGACCACACCGAGCATTGCAGCGGAGCATCGACAGGAGGCGATCGCGGCGCAGTTGCCCTCCCCGTTGGTCCCTTCATTGCCGGACGTTTGCGCACTACACGCACTGTCACGCATTTAGTCCCTGTTGGACGAACCGTTCGTCCGTTGGTTTAACGACTGCACTTAGTCCAGCTTTGTCGAATTTCGGCATGGAGTGTACCACCATCTCGCATCTTTTCATCATATATTCCCCACATAGAAGCACCGCCATCCAGCGGACATTCCAAGGACTAAACGAGAGGTGGCACACGCACACTTTCTTACGGCTTGCGCTTCGTATCTACTCCCCACCTTTAACCACCTCGAGTTCATTCATGGTATATACTAGTTCATTGTATTCATGGCACTGCGGCTCAACGCTCGCTAAACCTTTCTAAAACTAAGGAGGTTACACCCAGCGAGTACAACGTAGCAAGCCTTTCTTGTCAGATAGTGCTCAATGTACATGCCAATGGCTGCTAATGGGGATCACAGCCTGCACGTTAACTAGAAGCCGAATGCTCCTGTCTCTGATTCCCCATCAACAGCCACTGGCATGTACATTGAGCACTAAATTTCATTGTTCAACAACGCACAGAAGAAATCTCTCACCGGCACCACCTTGGAGGTCACAATGTTATATTCGTTACATACTACTACGGCTACGAGGGACGAACTGGTGCCGTTATAAAGAGTTTTGCCCCTGGAAAAAAAAAACAAAAAAAACGACGAATTGTAGCACGCCGGCGCCGCGCCGACATAATGGCGCGACAGCGGCGTCTGCGTGCCACCTCTGAAAACTTCGTCGGCGGCGCAAAACGGCGCGAAATCAGGCGGCGGCGGCGCGGCGGCGCACAGGTCTAGAAATTCAGCCCTATATATTGGCTTATAGGGAGGGGGGGCTCTAAGGAATGTTCGCCCTCCCCCCACCCCTCCCCCAGCCCTGCGCGTATAGTGCGTGAAAACTTGCGCGAAGGTCGCCGAAAAATGGCTATAGTAATACTCTTCTAGCACAAACCGATTTTAACTTAACACTAGTAGAAACCGTGTAAAGAGCCCACACCTTTTTAATCATGTTTACAAGCCTGCCTCTACTATTACACGGCTCATTCATCGAAGAGTCCTACGTGACCAATTTTGATCATCCTCGCATGATTCCTTTCCACTCTCTCGCAGATACACATTCATGGTTCAGACATGGCCTCTCTGCACCAGTACCTCCCACCCAGCATCCTTCCCGAAGAGTACGGTGGTGTACACGGCCCCTTCGACAACAGCAAGTACTGCCAGGGCCTGTATGACCGGGAAGACAGCTTCGTCCAAGACCTCAAGTACGGGTACCTCACCTGAGCGGCGAGAAACGGGAGGAAAGACGCGCCACCGCTTGGTAGACTCGGCACCACGCTCGGCTCGGCCAAGAGGCGCACTGACTTTGAGGCGACGCGATCGTCGAAGTATTTTGTGCGTCCGAAGGAATTACGCTGCAGCTTCGAGCGTGGGGGCGAACGCCCCAAGACTTTGTTCTTTTTTTTTCCCTCTCATAACTCGGTTACAATAACTCCCCCTTCCTCCCCGAAAAAAACAAAAACAAATTGTCAGCTCCACCCACAACCATCACTGTCGATCACCGCAGAAAATGTGTTTAAAAGAAGTGTTCAACGATTCAGAGTATTTTTTACTCTATTATGTGAGAGCATAAAGCCGTCGCGTCCCAGCCGCACTTGTTTAGAAAGAAGTGTTTAACGATATAGAGTACTTTGTACTCTACTATGGGAGAACGGGAAGCCGTCCCAGTCAAATGCGTACTCGCATAAGGATAGCTCTGCACGCTCAATGAGGAAATGTTTAGAAAAAGTGAAAAAGCCACCCTGAAGTAAAAGAAATTAGTACAGATTATTGAATAATACTGCTTTATGTGCCCAGAAAAAAAATGGCCAAATATTGAAAGTACCAGGTACTCAACTATGGGAGGGCTGAAAGCCGTGCCGTGAACCTCACACTTGGTGAGGCCGGATGGACGAAAATTGCAGCCTGACTAACCACCCGCTACTGTGGATCAGAATGGGCAGCCGACTAGGACGCGAACGCAGTTGACAAACGTACTTCGAGAAAGTGGGCAACGATTGAGAGTGCTAGGTAAACTAAAGCTGTCCCGTGAGCCTCACACTTGATGGGAAGTGCTGGGACGGCAAACAAATGTGTTTAGATAAAAGTTAACAATTTATAGTACATGGGACTCCGCTATGGGAGAGAAAAACGCCGTCCTAGAAGCGGAAAACCCCGAATTTCCGCTACATGTGACTTTTCGCACTTATCGGGTTGGGACAACGTGGGTAACGATTATGAGTACTTGGTACCCTACAATGGGCGAGCGAAAAGCCGTCCCCTGGGCCTCACACTCGATGAGGCCAAGTGCAGACCAGACAATACCAGTGCACCTGCTCTGTTGTGTGTTTAGAAAAAGTGGGTAACGATTTAGAGTACCAGGTACTCTACTATGGGAGGGTTTAAAGCCGTCCCTTGGGCCTCACCCGTGTTGTTTAGAAAAAGTGATTAACGATTTAGAGTACTTCGTACTCTACTATGGGAGAGCAGACAGCCGTCCCACTGAGCCCGCGACACTCCTAGTGTGTTGGGAAAAAGTTGTTAATGATTTAGAGTACCAGGTACTCTACCATGGGAGAGCAAAAAGCCGTCCCGTAGGCCCTTACTACACTGTATCGGGGCCCTAGTATGCGTGATACATTGAGTGCTGCATGCTGCCGTGGCGTAACGCACTGAGCATTAGAGCGTTACTGTACATACACACAACTGTGTTGCTGGTTTTTCGGAGCTTAACTTGAACGTCTCGATAAATTTCCTCAGGTATATGGTCATTACTACTCAGTGAATCCTAATCTTTTGGGCGGTGACGACGAACATTTAACTCTTCATATGCGCAAGATTTATATTAACCGAGAAAACATGCTTATGGTTTGAGCAAAAACAAACTAGCATGATTCTATTTCACAGGCGAAGGGCAGGCACGCCGAGCTTCTCTGGGCAAAGGCTGCATCTTGTCTCAGGTTGTAACCGAATATACTTTGTTGTTTACTCCAGAGCCCATATTCATTATTCGGATTGAAAAAAAAAAGAAAAGTTGACCACGAATGTGAGGCATTAGGGTTGTAGGTGGCGCTGACTTCAGTCGGCTCGGCTGAGCGTGTGTATATATACATTGTAATGTCCGTACGATTCTCTTCGACTGCCATCTATAGCCGCATACAATATAAGACGTTCACAGAGGTCCCACCCAGACGACCGAGGCGCAGAACCCGATCGCCTTCTCAGCTTAGGAAACAGTCCCGCTTTCGCATGCGTCTACATTCTCCGGAGGCGTAGAATGTAGACCGTCTCGAGTACGCCTCCATTGGTTGCAGTCGTGTGTGCATCAGCCTTTGAAGAAAAAATGCCGTGGACTTCTAAAGTAGTGTCCAACTATAGTGCGTTGTTTTATAGGCTTTATCTCGGCTTTAAAGACAATAAATGATGCTCTTAGGAGCTCTTTTTCTAGTTGGGGAGTTGTTCAATGAACCACACCTCTTACGCATACTATTCGTGCGAGCCAAGGAAGCAAGTGAGCAAAAGGTTTGATTTTTTTTCGCTCAGAAATGGTAGTAAATTGTAACGTAAGCATAATGATCACTTTCGTTCATGGGTAAGCGCTGCAATTCACTTTCTTTTTTGTCGCTATGACATGCCTGTTGGAAGAAAATGGTTTAAATACGAATTCCTCAGTCGGGCTATGCCCGGCATCTGGCGTTGTCCGCGGCGGAGTACGCACGCCGGCAGGTGTTTCCTCTCAGCCCTCACTCTCTTCTCTCGTAGCAACAGCTGCGGGAGAGCGCGCTTACCCTCGCCCCTAGCAACCTGAACATGTGGTGTGAGAGAGTGCTGGAGAGGGAAGGTGCAGTGATTCGCTGCTCCTTCTCTCGCCGAGACGAGAACGCTGGCGCCCCACTTTACCATCCACTCGCTCCTCATTCTCGACAGTTCGCTGGCTGGGCGCCTGTCAAGGCGATGGCACGAGTCGGTGAAGGCAAATGTCTCACCGCAATGGTACCCTCTCTCGGCGCTAGAAACGTATCAGTATGTCCTCACAGTTTCCTTCGGGAAGGTGTGGGCATTTTTCAGACATAGGAAGAATGAGTACCGCAGTAAACATTTTCGCAGCCTTGGAGCTGCCGGTTTTTCTTCATGCTTAACGCCCTCGGGGTCATAGAATAACAACATTCGCTGCGCGCACCAGCCAGTTAGAGTTACACTCGCGTCTGGAACTGTTAGAGAACTAGGCGTTAATTATCACCACAAGGAAGGCCCGAGAGCTTGATGGCAACAGCTCGGCAAGGATTTCTCGACGACAGTCGCAACTGTCATCGAGCGCAGTTGTTTCGACAAGCGGTCAATAATCTGCCTGAGTGTTGAGAAATGAGGAGCGATGCGACTCACAAGGATTCGTTCGAGGTCGTGTACACATTGCAGATACGGGTACATATTTCTTAACATTTCATGTGCACCAGATGCCTGCTTGCAATCAGTGACACGTTCGAGCTTGGTCGCGTGCTGAAGGTGGATTCCTCCCTTACTCACTAGGTTATAAACAAACGCCAGAATTTTATCATTCCCTTAGATCCTTTGCCAATAATACTTTTTTGAGTGCTCAATCCTTGTTCGTTAGGAAAATGATAACAGAGTTGGTGTAGGCAAAAAGAGTCTCACTTATCCTGGACTAAACTGTGCAAACTGCTGCACAGTTGAAAGCCGACAAACTGCCCTTCTTTTACAAGCCGAACTCATAGGTTTCTCTCACGAGGACGACTAGGCTCCTTAAATATGGCTTGTGTTCACAAATGGAAGGAATCCCGTGACAAAATTAAGGCAGATAAACGTCGTTGTCTCGCGGTATTCTATGTATAGCGATAGAGCCCGATCGTGATCAAATTTATAGGTAGCGAATAGCTTAAGTGCGCAGCCTTAGGAAAGGAACCAGCTAGTTTTTGTCAGTAAATTTGTTTCATATGGGTTTCGATTATAAAGCCTGCCTTTATAACACTGGCTTAAGCTGCATAATTATTCTAACGATTACAATAAAAATGATGCAGAACTATAGCACAGAAACATAAATTGTACATATACATGATCGATTAAAGAACAATTTAAATAATCTGTTGATGCAGGATGTATGAAAATCCGCAGTTATTGAAGAAAAAAATAGTTAAAATAAACACCAGTAAAATAAAGGTCGAATGAAAAAAAGAAGAGTGAGGCACAAAGAAGCCAGCTCAAGCCCACAAGAATATCATTGTTGCAGTCAATTGGAGTGCAATAAATACATCTGTGATGTAAACAAGTTCCAAAAGAAAGCCGGACAACATTACTGTATTGTAGTCTACGCTGGGAAGGTAAACCTGCCTAACTTTTTCTCTGGTTCGGATAGCGTCAGCTGTATTACACTGCTCTAGTTCACTATACCTGTATAAGACACACACGACTTGATCAAAACGGCTATACGCACATCACAACTTTAAGAAATGCGATCTATTTTTTTCACTTTTTATTACTGCAAAATGTTTTTATTTCTGTTTTCTCTTCTTGAAATAGAGCATGTACGCGCTCGCTGCCGAGGTGAAAGCGAAATATTGAATGTTGCTTTGTTTAGTGGCAAGTGTTGTTTACTTTGAGGCACCATCATTGAAATGCGTCGATGTAAACCTCTTTCTAATCAACTTCTATTTCAGACGCTGAGAAAATGGAATAAAATATCATACCTCATTCACCAAATGTTTTGTTGTCTTCGCTGCCATCTTAAAAAAAAAAGAACTGTTGCATCAAAAATAGAAGAGAAAGACTTCGTGCGAATGCGGAATCAAATGGACAAAGCGAAGTCCTATGTTCTTTTTTACGGGGAGCTGAGTTTTTATTGGCACAAGCACAAAGTGACCAAATTCCCACGAATACAATTAATTGGGACTGTGATGTTTCAATCGGGACAAGCGCCTGATCCTGTGCGCGGGAACTGATCTTCGAAAAGGAGCGGTGGCGTGATCGCCGGAGCCTGCTGCACGAATTATCAAGAGAGAGAGATAGACTTTATTAATTTCCGGCAGATTGCTGGAAGCGTTAGAATCTGTTCAGAACCGCTCAGTTCGGTTCATTTGTTCTAATTATTCCCGTACTGCTAGCGTATCAGAAATGAAATCTAACCTTGACCTACCCAATTTAACTGTCCGGAGGAAACTGGCGCGACTGCATTTTTTTCATAAGATATTTTTTCACAATCCATCAATGAAGCGAGACCTCATTGCACAACCGTCATACCACTCATCGCGCATTGATCATCAGCATAAGGTTGCCATTCCGTTTTGCCGCACCAAATTCTTTTCAGCAGCCTTCTTACCGAAAACAGCCGCCGATTGGAACCACCTTCCCTCTTCCGTTGTATCAATAACAGACCCTTTGTTATTCAAGACTGCAATTTCTCAGCAATGCTTGTAACTATACGCAGTTTCCATTATCTATCTTTGTCTTGTATGTGCTTGAATTCTTATACATTTTTAGTTGACTTATGTTGCCTTCCTGATTTGCGCATCTGATACTTGTTTCTTTATTTTGTCTTTTTTTCT